GAACAGACAAATTAAATAATATTGCTCAGTTTTTTCCCAGTGAGGAACTGTAGTGCTGCATTCCTCCTGGCTATGAAAACGTTCATAACCTTCTATTAAGCTGCTACACTTCTAAAATTTAATTTGCACATCTCCTTAATTCAGCTTTTGTGCTTAAGGCTTGCCAAACAGATTGTGCTTTGACTGGAGATGAGTAGTGCTGGTGAGTGCGCCTCTTGTGTATTTTCAGGAATGCAGGTAGAAGCTATCCCTCCAAGCAGGCTCTGCAGTGTACATACACGAAACTGTTCCTGTGCATACGTGACATTTGTCATTGACTACAGTCACAGTGTAGTAACTGACTTTGGCAGTGATGTTTTTCATCCATTATTACTTAGCACAATCCTGCTTGTTATTTTTTGCATGCTTCATGGTGTAAGTATCCTGGATGCCTTTTTCAAGGACAAAGTTCCTTTGTTTCTTCCTTTCATTTCAGTCTTTGAAACACTTTTGGACAGTAGGCTTTGTACTTCAGCCAATGTTTAGATGTTGATGTCATTATCCATTCTTCAAAAGTAGGATGTTGACTACAGCCGTTTCCTTCTTTCCCCCCATTAGTTCACGGAGTGAGAAGTGTTGCATTGTGCTGCATCATGAGTGCAAGGTCACAGAACCACAGGACGGGTCAGGTTGGTAGAGACCGCAGAGAATCATCTGGTCCAACCTCCCTGCTCAAGCAGGGTCATCCCAGAGCACATGGCACAGGATTGTGTCCAGACAGTTCTTGAATATCCCCAGTGAGGGAGATGCCACAAGCCTTCTGTTCAATCTGTCCCAGTGCTTGGTCACTGCACAGGAAAGAATTTCTTCCTCATGTTCAGGTGGAGCTTCCTGTGTGTCAGTTTGTGCCCGTTGCTTTTTGTTCTATTGCTTGTCACTGCCGAGCAGAGCCTGGATCCATGCTCTGACACCCTCCCTTCAGGTACTCACAGACACTGATGAGGGCCCCTCTCAGGCACCTCTGCTCGAGGCTGAGCAGGCCCAGCTCCCTCAGCCTTTCCTCCTGAGAGATGCTCCTGTCCCCCATCATCTTTGTCACCCTCTGCTGGACCAGCTCCAGCAGCTCTGTGTCTCCCTTGTCCTGAGGAGCCCAGAACTGGACACAGCACTCCAGATGTGCCTCACCAGGGCTGAGTAGAGGGCCAGGATCACCTCCCCCAACCTGCTGGCACTGCTCTTCCCAATGCACCCCGGACACCGTTGGCCTTCTTGGCCACCAGGACACACTGCTGGCTCATGGAGAGCTTGCTGTCCACCAGGAACCCCAGGTCCTTCTGCTCAGAGCTGCTTTCCAGCAGGTCAGCCCCAGCCTGTGCTGCTGCCTGGGGTTCTTCCTCCCCAAGTGCAGGAGCCTGCATTTGCCTTTGTTGAATTTCAGACAGAATGAGGTGCTCCATCACCTTTTCAGGGACTGGGGTGAGGTGGGCTGGCTGGTAGTCCCCTGAGTTCTCCTTCTTGCCCTTTGTGAAGACTAGGGTGACATTTGCTTTTTTCCAGTCCTCAGGCACCCCTCCTGATTCTCCATGATGTTTCAAAGATGACCATAAGCAACCCAGCTATGGTATCTGCTAGGTCTCTCAGTGTTACTGGATGCATCTTCTTAGGACCCATGGATTTGTGGATGTCAGGTTTGCCTAGGTGTTTCCTAACCCAATCCAAGCCAAAGGAAAGCTAGCTTCCTTCCTTCCTTCCTTCCTTCCTTCCTTCCTTCCTTCCTTCCTTCCTTCCTTCCTTCCTTCCTTCCTTCCTCCCTCCCTCCCTCCCTCCCTCCCTCCCCTCTTAAAGCCATGTGTTCCTCTGTGGGATATTCCTGGGTTTTGCACATCATTCCCTGCAACTGGAAGGACAGAAGAGAGCACAGCTTGTGCTCCAGATCCCTTGACCAGTTATCCCAAGACCCTGAGGTCACTCTTGATCATCCACAGCTGCCTTATTGGAATGTCATCAGTACTCACCTGGAATGCCAGCAGCAGGTGATAATCAATTGGCCATACCAGCATGGGAAGTTTCTTGGGGTGTTTCTTATTTTGGCCCCAGGAAGGCAACACACTTCCCTAGGGGCTGGGTCCAATAGACATCCATCAACTCCTCAAGGCTGCTCTCATCACTAGAAGTTGGGCCAAAGGCAGGGAGTATTTTTTAGCTCCCTATTCTCCCATAAAACAGGCAAGATCGCTACAGACCACTGAGAGGTTTCTGAACAAGTGCTTGCTTACCTAGCACAAGCACCTGCTAGGTGCTTCCATGCTTGCAGGTAGCTTCATTCTCCTCCTCCTCCACTATGTAGCTTTAAAAGCAATTACACAAACCTGTAGTGCAGTTCAGTGACATTTTAAGCTCTTTCTTGGGATGTCTGACTTGTACTTCCCTCTTTCTGAGAATGTGATGACTCTAAGAAAAAATTAAATTTAATTGGCATGAAATCAGGTAAAATTAACTTCTCCTCATCTTTATCCATGAACTCATTCTGCATCCAAATCCTGTGTACTCTAGAGCAGCCCAACTTTATTTTCTGTGTTAAACATCTCAATTCTATCCCAAAGTATAATTATATAATTTTCTGTGTTTCTTTTATGCTGATTTTTTAATGACACTGTCTAATTCAAAGTGAAACTTTAGATTTAGAAAATATTGCTTTACTTTAAATGCACTGCTGAGCAAAGGGAGGACTGCCAAGTCAAGTCTGGGCTACCAGATCCATGTGATTCTTCACTGACCATCTGTACCTAAGTTGATAACTGCATGTCTGTGTCATGCACTCATTCAGGGAAATTAAATAAATGGGTTTTAATCTTACTAAAATACTGATTTTCACCCAGACAGGTAAACCTTCTGATTTAGCCCATCATGCAGTCAAACAGCATTAATGTTATTATCAAAAGAGGGACAATGGGAAACCATGCAGCTGTAGGAGAGCAAAATGTGAAACTGCAGCAGCCCAAGGTTTAGTTGGCCTTAACTTAAGGAACCACACCTTAAGTCACAAAACAGAAATCACTTTTTTCTGTGGTGTTATCATATATTGGTTTTAATAAGTTTTTAACACGTAGGGATACAAAACAGAAAAAAACCCCAAAACCCAAGCCTGAGTTTCATGTTCTGGAAGTGTTGGATTTAAACCAGTCAGGTCTGCTTGATGCAGGTGTGAGCTGGTCCACTGCATGGAAAATCAAGATTCCCATTGTTATTGTTCAAAACCCAGCAATTACTAGTGCTAAGTGGCATATTGCATTGCTATTGAGCTTGATAAGACTAGTTTCCACCCAGCAAAAAAGAGCCACACAAACCTGTGATAAAGATAAATTTACCCACTAGACTGTCCTTGCTCTGTGTTCTCTGCCAGTCACATATCAGAGCTGAAAGAACAGTTGCAGAACTCTTATGCATAAAAGAACAATCTTTTCTGCAGTCACACGCCTCAGCTGTTTTTTTCATAAAAATTCTCTTTCAGAATTGGCAGAATTACAGGTTGGTAAATAAAATCAGAAAAACAACTAATGTAAAAGAGATGGGGAAGAAAAAGTATTTTCTTGAAATTCAATATTAAAGAAATGAAGAGGTTGGTAAAATAGGAGGAGCTGAAAAAAAAGGGCCAAACATACTCTAGGTCAATAGCTCACCACAGGTGAGTGAATATTTTACATATTACTGCATTTCTGAAGGCTGTGTGAAATCATCAATGACTGCATAGTTTGGTCCTTTTGTACAGCGCAATCTGTAGAGATTTGCCTAGTTTTTCCTATTGTAAGGAACATAATTTTTCATTGAACGAGGACATATGTTTAGAAAAGGCCTCTATGTCTGATTCAAGGACTCCAAGTGAAGCAGAACCACTGTGCCCCTAAGGTATTGTTCCAGTGGTTTCCCACCCTCAGGGTTAAGCATTCCTGTTTTCAGATGGAATGTGTTTGGCTTTAACTTGCCAGTGCTTAGGAAGAATTTCTATCCCAACAGGTTTCAAAGGTTTTCCAAAGTTTTAAAGTACCTTTGCACAGAAAATTATCTTCCTTTTTAAATGCTGCTTTGATGGTCAAACACAAGCCTTTCACAGAATCATAGAATCATATATAAATAGAATACCCTGAGTTGGAAGGGACCCACAAGAATCATCAACCATGCAACAACTTTAGCTAGCACTTGAGCTAAATATTCAGGAAACAGCCTGAGCTGCCAGGAGTAAGGGAGAGAAGGATTTAGGAAAGTAGAATGTGCTTAAGAAGTCAGGAAGTTTCATCATGCTAATAGAACACTTGTGAGCCTACAGAAAGCATTTTGGACAAAGAAATGAACAGTTAGGGTCAGAAGCTTAATGATGGCCTTATTCAGAACATAATGCAACTCTAGCTGCTGGCTGAGCTGTAGCAATATGTGACAATTTCAACTCTCTGATGTTTCTGGTGCCCATATAGAACCTGAAGGGAAGAGCTTTTACTGAAAAAGTTCTCTTATGAAGTGTCAGCCTAGGGTGGCATCTTTGGCACAAAAACTTCCCATCTGATAGCCTAGTTCAGGACAGCACAGTGACACAATTCATGAAGGTGCAATGTTCAATAATATTTATACAGTGTATAAATTGTACCTTTTGTATGTGTCTTTGATGGGAATACTGAAAAAGGCCAGATCTCAGATTTTGTTATCCAGCAAAGACTTTTACATGTGACTTCATATCATGCAATTCACCTGTTTTACCTCTGTTTTTATGGACATAGCTGAACCCCCTTTATATCAATAATAAAGTTTATTGCTGAGAGATTCTTCTATTACTGTCTCAGGAGGAGGAACTCTCTATTAATAAGCAAGAGTTAGGTGGTAAAACTAAAAAAAAATACCAAGAAACAAAAATCAATATGTCTTTTCCCTGGATTTTATATTCTTCACTTGCATAAATTAACCAGAAAAAGCCAGTGCCAGGGAATTAAGTTTATTTTAAGAGTTCTCCAAATATGAAACTAGCAACTGGTTTAAAAGAACATACCAAACAAAATCAAGCTGTCAGCATCAGTTTTCTCAAAGATGTAACTGGGGTGGGTCTTTGTAAGGGGCCAGGCATCTAACAAAGCCCTTTGGTGTGTAACTGGCAGCGTAGGTTGTTTTAGCATCTAGGAGAGTGTGATGCTTTAGGCCTGACCAGACGGGTTAATAGGTTTACATACCTGTGAGAATGAGGCCCATGATGGGTCCAAAACGTAGCCAAGAAATCTATTGGTTTTGCTGGGAAAGTCTGGAGCATGAGTGATAGGTATTAGTCTATTTCATAGCCAAGGCTTATAGTCTTCCTTCACTATAGAAGAGCTATTAAATGGCTCAGTAATTTTATTAAACTAGGCCAAAGGTTGACACATCTTGGCTGGCTTTTCATTTGGGTGCTTCAAATGTGTCCAAGTAGTGGTGTGAAGGTCCATTTTCTCCAGAGGAGGAAGATATCCAACAGGTTTTCCAGTGAATACAGAAGACTGTAGTCAAGTTTTGTGTTTTTCCTGAAATTCAGTTGTAGTGGATAAAGGAAGACAGGGACTGGCTTTGTCTGGTATGGTTTTGGAAGCTTGGTTGGCTGCCAGCCCACCCCGGTAAGAAAATTTGTGTGTAGTGAGGCCATCAAATGAAACATAATTGAGCTTGTATTTCTGAATTTTATGGACATAATGTTTCACCAGAGGAGTTGGCACATCACAGAATAACAGAATCACAAGGTTAGAAGAGACCTTGAAGATCATCAAGTCCAACCCATGCCCTAGCACCTCAACTAAACCATGGCACCAAGTGCCACATCCAACCTTTTTTAAACACATCCAGGGGTGGTGATTCCACCACCTCCCTGGGCAGACCATTCCAGTATTTTATCACTCTTTCTGTAAAAAAAAATTTCCTAATATCCAATTTATATTTCCCTTGGCGCAGCTTGAGACTGTGACCTCTCCTTCTGTCAGTGGTTGCCTGGAGAAGTGACCAACCCCACCTGACCACAACCACCCTTCAGGGAGTTGTAGAGAGTGACAAGGTCTCCTTTTCTCCAGGCTAAACACCCCCAGCTCCCTCAGTTGTTCCTCACAGGGTTTGTGTTCCAAACCCCTCACCAGCCTCGTTTCCCTCCCCTGGATGCACTCAAGCATCTCAAGGTCCTTCCCAAACTGAGGGCCCAGAACTGGACACAATACTCAAGGTGTGCCCTCACCAGTGCCGAGTACAGGAGAAGGATGACCTCCCTGTTCCTGCTGGCCACACTGTTCCTGATCCAGGCCAGGATGTCCTTGGCCTTCTTCGCCACCTGGGCACACTGCTGGCTCATGTCCAGCCGGCTGTCACCAGCACCCCCAGGTCCCTTTCTCCTGGGCACTGTCCAGCCACACCATCCCCAGCCAGTAACACTGCAGGGGGTTATTGTGGCCAAAGTGCAGGACCGGGCATTTGGACTTGTTAAACTTCATTTTATTGGACTCTGCCCATCCATAATTCATTCTGTAATTGATTATGTACTCAAAGGGAGCCTTGCTTTTCTAGCCCAGATTCAGAGGTTTACAGCTTTGAGTGGCAACCAGTCCCCTGTAAAAACAGTTGTTCTGGACAATGGTTCTCTGGTAAAATTTCTCTTTTGATGGGGTAAACCTATTATTTGGTCTGATCTGCTCTGTCTTGGTTCATTCAGTAACACACAGTCATCTGAAATGAAAGAGGAGTCATATTGAAATTCTCAACTGGAATCCTTTGACAAGTTCAGCCATATATCAATATTATGGTGATTACGTTTTCTACTTCAATAAATATTTGTTTATGGTGTAGTGTTTCACAAATCTTATTCAAAGAGCAGCTGCAGAATATGTTATACGCTACTGTGTTAAGCCCCGGAAGTGCTGTGCATCTTCACAGAAAGTTGAATCAAACAGGCCTGTACCCATTCATGCCTACAGAGACCATGAAATACCCTGAGGGAAGATTCAATTGTATTTGCAGTCTCACAGAGACATCTTCTGCAGTAAGAGAGTGGGTGCCATCGTCATGCTCAGTAAACCAGGAGTCATGGAGGTGTAGCATCAAGGCAGTGATTTCAACCTACTTCAAACACCTTCCTGCTGCTGGGCTGTGGCAGCAGAGCAGGAGTATGGGCACAGAGTATGCCTGTGTCTGCAGAAGGCTGTTTGGGTGTCTCACACAGCATCTCCAGGACAAGGAGAACCAGACGTCCACCATTCCACTCTACAGGCAGAGCTGCCATGCTACCCTTCCTCTTCCTACCTTCCCACTTGGCCTGGTGGCTGACCCGATTCCTCAGCTGCACAGCTGGAATGCTGCCTATGGTTTGCCAAGTTCAGAGGCTTGCAGCTCATCTTGGTGTTAGCAAGCTGTGGCTCTCCGTGGTGCTCCTGCTGTCAGAACAAACAGAAACTGAGAAAGAACTTGCAACTCTGTCCCAATTCTTCCTTATTAGAAAAGCTGTGCTGAAATTTGCAGAATAAGTCTGCACTAATGTGAAACACTGAATTATATTGCAGAAATAGCCCATATTCCAGAAATATTGCTATCCAAATTTATTACTAAGAAAATACTTTAGGTGGTGTTTTAGGGACATACATATGTTCCTTTCTTGACAGGATATCAGGGAAATAAATGAGGCCCTGTAATCTGAAAATATTTGTGTTGTCGCACTAGGAATCTATTGCAAAGCTGCTTAACTCTGACCAGGGCTGAGGCCAGAAGACCATAGTTTTTTCCCCTTACTAGTAATTTTGTGCAACTTTCCCTAGAGACCATAATGGTTACTGGTAGGAAGTTGAAATTAAATAGTCTTGGAACTAACCCAAGGGGTGTTTTTTGTTTTCTTTTTATAATTTTCCTTCCTTTCAAACCACACTAAGAGTCATAAAGCAAATAAGCTTCCAGCTGACTCTGCACAGAAAGGAAGTCTAGATGTCAAAGTACTATAGAGTAAATTATGCAATTAGGGTATTTGTATTAGGATATTTGAATTCTTCATTCCAATCAGAATTTGGCACTCCTGTTTCCTTTGGGAAGTAGGAGATGTCCAGGCACCACCACACTGGTGAGGTGCTGACCAGTACATCATGCCTAGGGTACATAATTTTCCTGGAGAAACAGTCCAACAGGGTGAACCAGGAACATATACAGATGTGGTTTTACAGGAAATGCATTAATAAAGTGTTTAAAAGTGAGCAGCTAATGAGATTCAGACCACCTCTAAGAGGAGGTTTGTTCAGAGATCTCACATTTCAGCTGCCAACCAAGAGTTACCAAAAAAACTTTTCAGGGTCTCCCATCATCTTTCTTGGAGAACACTCTGTGCATTTTGGATGTAACCACAGCTCTTGCAAAATATTCAAAATATGATAAGCAAGTCCGTCTGTCTTCAATTTTTTAAATTTATAAGCTCTACACGTTTGGAGACCTCATAGGCGTTATGAATTTATTTTACTTAGTGTAAGCCAGCAGTGCTACTAGTCCTTCAAAATATGTTACAGTTTTATTGTAACTCTAATTCTTAACCATAGATATTAATAGTTTCCCATGTAGCACAATCTTGAAAACATTAAGGGGTACAGGAGGGAATGCAGGATATGAACCATATGTTGTTGGAGGGTTAGGCACATCTCCCTATAACCAAGCAAGGCTTAATTAAAATTAGATTACATATCTGAAGATAGGCAGAAACAGCTACATGTGTAGCCTGGAGGAGATGAGAATTTGAAACTTTAAGTTGCAAAGTCATCTGACGTGAACTGTGATAAGCAATAGCAACGACTTAACCCTCCAGTGTCCTTTGGTACATGATGTGTTCAGTGGGAAAGAACATAACAATACAGTAGGAAAGGTGACTTAATACCAAAGCAGCACTATTTTAGATGCCGTTCCAATATTTTAGTTATGATAATTAATTGAATACAATGTTCCATACTCTGGGGTAGGTGTGCTGGTTTTGGCTGAAGTGGAGTTAACTTTCTTCACAGTGGCTGGTATGGTGCTGTGTATTGGATTTGTGCTGAACACAGGAGCTGATAACACAGAGATATTTATGTTATTCCAGAGCAGGGCTTACGCACAGCCAAGACCTTTTCTGATTTTTTATACACCAAAAAATATGGTCAGGAAGTTGGCGGTGCTTGGGAGGCTGGGAGGAGACACAGCCAGGAGAGGTGACCCAAACTGACCAAAGAAGGAACATTCCAGACCATATGGCATCATGCTCAGTACATAAAGTGGAGGGAAGGAGACTGTGGATGGGCATTTGGAGTGATGGTGTTTGTCTTCCCAACTCACTGTCACCTGTGATGGGGCCCTGCTCTCCTGTCAATGGCTGAACACCTGCCTGCCCGTGGGAAGCACTGAATTACTTCTTTGGTTTGCTTTGCTTTTGTGCACTGCTTTTGCTTTCCCTATTAAGCTGCCTTTGTCTCAACCCACGAGTTTTCCAGCCTTTCCCCTTCTGATTCTCTCCGTCATCCAGCCGGTAGGGGAGTGAGGGAGCGGTTGCGTGAAGCTTGCCTGCTGCTTGGGGTTAAACCATGACAGTAGGGATCACTAAAACCTAGCAATGCTTAGAGAATAGCACAATGAAAACTTGCAATTTTTGTTGAATCCGGGCCTTAAGAGAATTTATTCAGTATGCAACTTGATCTTTGAGGGGGCTTGGACAAAGATTTCCATTTGCAGTGTTTGGAAAAATACTGTAAATTATAACCAAATGTGGCTGTGATACCTTTTATTAGAGCTCTGGAGTTACACTTAAGGTGCTGACCTAAACACTGAAAAAAGACCGAAATATAAATATGTTTCAGATATGGAGAAGTTAAGGATATCTAAACACAGAAGGACAGATCCATACCTTGCACATAGCAGGTTTTTTTATTGGTTTCACCAAAATTATTCCAATGAATACCATCTGGTGACATTGCCTATACAAAATAAAGTGTTCAAAAGTGTGTAGATATGGATATTTTGCACCTGTGGGTCATAGTCTTCACAACTCAAGTCAACAGTGATGTGCTGAGATCCCACAATTCTAAATGGACATTTCCTGATTCCTGCACAGCGTGTTAGCATACATATAGAGAAGGAATATAAACTGCACAATGTTTTGATCTGTCTTCTTAAAAAGTGAAGTTATCTGTGAAGTCCTGAACAAAGCTGCAAGGGCAGCTCACCTTTGTAAGTGGTTCTTCTATCCATCTTGGTCCTGGGGATATGTCGCCTCATCCTCCAGGAGAGACATGAAGATACTTGAGACATAGTGTAGGAGGAGGTAAGTAAGTGGAGGTCAAATCCATATTCTCATGTCTCTTGACATGCTTTTCAGATGGTTTAGGTTTCTGTGGCGACACTTCATGAGCTATGTAATCTCTCCTGTAAAGAAAAATTTCATTACTTCTTTTTTGTTCCAGAAAACAATATGCTCTTTTTTCTGGACACACAAAGAAATGAATACTTGCTCTTACCTCCACCAGATAAGAAAGTTTGGATATGATACAAGCAGTTAGTGAAATACACTAACTGGCCTTTTGCATTTTAAAACATGGACACTGCAAAAGGAACAGGGGCAGCTCTTGATAACCCCAGCCAGGCCAGGTTTCCCCTTCTTTCCACCCAGCAAGGGTAATGGCTTTACTCTGTTCTACAGTGGAATTACACCAGAAGACATAACTCCTTTTAAAGGGCAATAATTATAGCAGATTATCTAGTGTGTATAGGAAACAAAGGAGGGGGCAGCCTTCCCAGACAACACGCTGGACACCAGTTCAGCCCAGGCTGGGGAGGTAATATCAGAACAGTTTTACAGCAAAACATCAGTTGGGCAAAGAAACATCAGCATGGCCAGATAGTCAGCTTTTTCTCAGCTATTGCTTTTAAAAACCTACTTAAGATACCAAGATAGTGCTACTTAACTCTAGGACAACCTTGCAGAACCACAAGACTGAGAAGAAAACTTGGCCATCCAACATTCAACATCCTGAATCTATTTCAGTGTCCAAATCCTTTGGTACAGGGCAGAGAGTCTGCTGCCTGGCACAAGCAAATTCACTTTCTTATGTCAGAAGTACTTCTCCACTGGTGTGCAGATCTGTTTAGATCACTGGCAATCAGCCAGGAGAAGCAGGCAGTATAGGAGCTATTATAGTATTAATATTGCTCTTCGCTTCTGAAGTGGTGATGCTGAGTGGGCAGGAGCCTGAGCCTCTGAATACACTGTATTAGTGATACATTTTAGCAAAATATACAAGGCTCTCGAAAGTCTGTGTAAAGCAGAAGAAGAGAGAATTCACATTGCAAAGTATTAGGTATAGTGGTAAAACAGAAATTCAGAAGTAAAAAATAACCAAGAACATCATGTAGATGTCACATACGTTCCAGCCATTTGGCATGCTGTTTTCAGCAATCTGAAGCAAATATAGTTTTTAAGAAGCATCAAGAAAATACAACCTGGAGCACAACAGACATTTAGCATCCTCAGCGGCAAGGAGAACCCAGCAACAGAGAGAGTCTTTTCCAAGCTAGTCACTGCCCAGTTCCATGTTTGAAACAGTCAATATGTACCAGAGCCAAGAAACAGATCACAGGCAGGCAATACTTTACCTGAGTGATGAAGTGTTTTCTGGCAGTAGATACAAGAAGGGGATGGAGTCAGTGAGTTCTACATCAGAATGGGTACTGCGAGAGCTGAAAGGAGTCATCACTAAGCCACTCTCCATCATTTACAAGCTGCCCTGACTAACCAAGGAGGTCACAATTGCTGGAGGTTAGCAAATATTACCCCCATATATAAGAAAGGCTGGAAGGAGGATATGGGGAGCTACAGGCCTGTTAGCCTGACCTCAGTGTTAGGGGAGTCATGAAGCAGATCATCTGGAGTGTCATTAAAAGGCTAGTGTGAGACAACCAGAGGATAAAGCCCAGTCAGCCTGGGTTTGTGAAACACAGATCCCAGATCCTGTTTGACCAACCTGATTGTTTCCTATGACAAGGTGACCTGGTTAGTTGATGAAGGAAAGGCTGTGTCTACCTGGACTTTTGTAATGCCTTTGATGCCATCTCCCAAAGCCTTCTCCTGAGAAACTGGATACTCCTGGCTTGGACAGGTGCTCTCTTTACTGTGTAAAGAGCTGCTTGGATGGCTGGATCCCAAGAGTGTTGGCGAAGGAAGTTAGATCCAGCTGGGGCCCAGCCACCAGTGGTGCTCCCCAGGGCTCAGTGTTGGGTTTAGCCGTGTTTGGTATCTTTATCAATGATGTGGATGGGGGAATTGTGTGCACCCTTACTCAGTTTGCAGATGACACCAAGCTGGGCAGGAGTGTTGATTTGCCAAAGGGTCAGAAGGCTCTGCAAAGGGATCTGGACAGCAGGATCTATTGGCTAAGACCAATGGCATGAGGTTCAACAAGTCCAAATGCCTGGTCCTGCCCTTCAACTGTGTGAGGGACTGAAAACCTGAAAGACTTAATGTGAACCTGAAAGAGCTAATGTCTCAAACATTTGACAGAAGAGAAAAGGAATATTACCATGCCAACTAGATAAGATGTGGTTAGAAAAGAGGATCTTGCAGAGGCAGCATAGTGCTTCTCTGGGACCAGCTTCCTTATCTTGGGTAACTATTTTTAAGAACAAATTTGAAACAATGAGACCATCCAACCCCTTCTGAAAAGTTTGAGAATAACAAGATGCAGATGCAAGGACTAGTCTATAAATAGTGCAACAGAGAGAGGTGAGGGTATGCATCCATCATCCATGCACCTGCCATCCAGAGGAAAGAGACCAGAGGCAGTAATGGAGCCCTGGGTGGTAACACAGATCTGTTTTCTCTGTCTATTTTTCTAACTCTCCTTCTTTCTTTCTTCCTCTGCTTAAAAGTTTGAATCACTGCTGCTGCAGGCTGTTCAAAAATCACCATTGTCACCTGCTGTTCAGAAAAGTTTAATCTGTGGCTGTCCAGAAAAGTTTAAATCATTGCTGCCAAAGACCTTTCAACTTACCATAAGGCTTAGATTGTTCCTACCATAAATAAAGCTTTTTAATTAATCACATGGCATTGTTTTGCTGTAATTCAGTCCATGAGTGCTGTGAACATGGGCTCCCTCAGAGCAGGAGGCTCAGGACTGCTCTCGGGTGCCCCAACATGTCACAACAGCCCCAGGCAATGCTGCAGGCTGGGGGTGAGTGTATGGAAAGGTGCCTGAGGCAAAGAACTCAAGGATGCAGGTCAACATGGGCTGAGCATGAGCCAGCATGTGCCCAGGTGGCCAAGAAAGTGAACAGCATCCTGGCATGTACCAGCAATAGTGTGGCCAGCGGGACCAGGGAAGGGATCATTGCCCTGTGCTCATCACTGGTGAGGCCACCCTGTGTTCACTTTTGGGCCCGTCACTCACTACAGAAAAGACACTGAATTGCTGGAGTGTGTCCAGAGAAGGACAACGGAGCTGGTGAAAAGATGAAACACGAGTCCTGTGAGGAGTGGCTCAGGGAGCTGGGGTTGTTTATACTGGAGAAGAGGAGGCTCAGGGGTGACCCTATCACTCTGTACAACTACCTGCAAGGAGGGTGTGGCCAGCTGGGGGTGAGTCTGTTCTCCTTGGAAGGATGACAAGAAATGGCCTCAAGTTGCACCAGTGGAGGTTTAGAATGGTTATTAAGAAGAATTTCTCTACAGAAAGGGTTGTAAAAGATTGGAACATGCTGCCCATGGGACATGGTTGAATTCCCCACTCCTGGAGATATTTAAAATCCATGTTGATATGGCGCTTAGGAACAGGGTTTACTGGCTAAGTTAATGGCTGGATGGCTGGACTTGATGTTTCTGGGGTTTTTCCAGCCTAAAGGATTTTCTGAGGACAAATGGGTGGTGTTAGTTGGTAAGACTTCAGTAGCCATTGTCTTCTCTTAGATTCTCTACTTAGTTGTCAGCAAAGACAACAGTGGTATTACTCAAGATTATGCTTCGGATGACACAGGAAGTAAACATCAAGATCAGGCAACAGCCACTGTTTGAGGAAAGGGAAGCTCTCAGATCCATTTTAAAGGATCAGATCCTACTTATGAATTCATGAGTTCCTTCTGTGGATAAATACTTGGAACATCATTCTCTGAGGAGTAGGGAAAAGCCTCAGAACTGAATTCCATCAGGGTAATGGGCACAGTGTAAGTATGAGGACTTCTTCTAAACATCAAGACTGAGGAATAACATAGCTGAGAAAAATAAACAGCCCAGCAATCCAACAGTGGCAAGTAGAGTTCCTCAGCATTCTGTATTGGGAATGGTTTTATTTAATATTGTTATTAATTACATAGTCAAAGGGATCAAGTGCACTCTCAGCAAATTTGCAAGTGACACCAAGCTGAGTGATGTGGCTGACAAATCTGAAGGACAGGATGCCATTTAGGGGGATCTGGACAAGCTCAAGAATTGGGCTGGTGGGAACTTCATAATGTTTGCCAAGACCAAGTGCAAGGCACTGCAGCTGTGTCAGGGAACCTCCAGCACCAACACAGGCTGGGGATGAACAGATCAGGGCAGCCCTGGGGAGAAGGACTTGGGGGTGCTGGTGGGTGAGAGGCTGGACATGACCCAGCCATGGGCACTCACAGCCCAGGAAGCCAAACGTGTCCTGGGCTGCATCCAAAGCAGCGTGGGCAGCAGGGCCAGGGAGGGGATTCTGCCCCTCTGCTCTGCCCTGCTGAGAGCCCACCTGCAGGGCTGCATCAGCTCTGGGGTCTAAGATGATCAGAGGGATGAAGCAGCTCTCCTGTGAGAAAAGGCTGAGAGAAATGGCACAGTGTAAGTATGAGGACTTCTTCTAAACATCAAGACTGAGGAATAACATAGCTGAGAAAAATAAACAGCCCAGCAATCCAACAGTGGCAAGTAGAGTTCCTCAGCATTCTGTATTGGGAATGGTTTTATTTAATATTGTTATTAATTACATAGTCAAAGGGATCAAGTGCACTCTCAGCAAATTTGCAAGTGACACCAAGCTGAGTGATGTGGCTGACAAATCTGAAGGACAGGATGCCATTTAGGGGGATCTGGACAAGCTCAAGAATTGGGCTGGTGGGAACTTCATAATGTTTGCCAAGACCAAGTGCAAGGCACTGCAGCTGTGTCAGGGAACCTCCAGCACCAACACAGGCTGGGGATGAACAGATCAGGGCAGCCCTGGGGAGAAGGACTTGGGGGTGCTGGTGGGTGAGAGGCTGGACATGACCCAGCCATGGGCACTCACAGCCCAGGAAGCCAAACGTGTCCTGGGCTGCATCCAAAGCAGCGTGGGCAGCAGGGCCAGGGAGGGGATTCTGCCCCTCTGCTCTGCCCTGCTGAGAGCCCACCTGCAGGGCTGCATCAGCTCTGGGGTCTA